CCTCCTCTCCCTCCCTCCTCCCCCCTCTGCTCACAAGTTCGCGTCGTACGGCGGTACTCCTCCTCCCCCATGAGACCCCAGCCCGTCACCAACGCCGACAGCAGCCCAACGTACAGCATCTGGTTCCAGGTCGACACCTGCTCCCTCTCCTCAGACCCCCACCGCCTCCCTTCTTCTTCCCCTTCCTCCCCTCTCTCACCTTACGGTCCTTGAACAGCCGCTCCTGTACCGTCGACGTGAAGCCGTCAAAGAACAGATACATCGCCATGATCACGGCTCCCATCGCCGTCGTCCTCGAGTCTTTCGAGTGCCTGCCAGCTTCTCACTCTCCCTCCCCTTCTTCTTCCTCTACTCACTCCTCCCCCCCCCACTCCCCCCTCCCCTCCCCCCTCCCCTTCCCACCTCTCTCTCATCTCATCGCTTACTTCGCCGATACAGGCCCCGTCAGCAAGAATAAAGTTGTCCCCGTCGTCACTCCCGCTGCCACCAGATAGTCCTTTAGCTTATACTTTTTTCGAGCAAGAAATGTTCCCCATATCATGACCTGCACGACGCCCGTCACCTCCTCTTCCCCTCCCTCCTCCCTCCTTCCCCACTCCTCCCTCTCTCCTCTTCCTTCCTCCTCCTCTCCCCGCTCCCCCCTCTCCCTCCTCCACTCGCTCACCGGTATCATCTTCGCTGTCTTTCCCAGCGTCTGCGTCGGAAAACTCACGTACCGTAGCGCCTCATACTGGCACGTCGTCGCCTGCACGCGCAGCCCTTTTAGTCCTCTTAGCCCTTTCCTTCTCCTCTTCCCCTACTTCCCTCCCTTCCCTCCCCCTCCCTCCCCCACTCCCCCTCCCCCTCGTTCCTTCCTCGCCCTCCTACCATCATGTTCGAGAAAGCGATCGCGCAGTACGCCGTAAGCGGCGCCGCGGGCATCAGCGTGTCCCTCTTGATCATGATGGCGAGCACGGCGATGCCCATCGACGTGATGCGGTTGCACATGACGAGGAAGAGAGAGCTGATCTGAGTGCCGCCGATCTTGTCGTTGCCCCACGTCCCGGTCATGATGAGCTCTTGGAAGTAGCCGTAGGAGAGGAGACAGACCTGTATGCAAGTCATCTTACACCAGTCTTGAAGGTCTACTAGGCTCACAAATATTCCACATGCAAGCAGCAATCCCCTCATAGTCTTCTTGTTCCCTTTCGCTTCATCATCGTTTGAATCACTGTCGGTTTGCATGTCTTCGTCGGTGGTCATCATATTAGAGAAAACAAACATCTCCAAACAAACACTCCTTACCTGCTTGTCGTTGATCAGCCTGGCACATGCTAGACTTCTAATGATTATGCTCCACAACTGACATGAGTACTTCAGTTCATGCTCCACCGGAGACGAAATTTTTTCGATGAACTTTCAGTTTGAAATGCAGGAAACAGCATTCCAGCTGTCTTTTGATATGCCATGATGCTGATTTTCAGACGTCTTTTGATCCTTTCGTCTACACATCTCCCACCTTCACTCTCAATAATTCAATTCTGAAGGATTTTTCTCAGGCAGTACATTAGTATAACAGCGACTATACTTCTTTTCCTTGATGTTTTCATTCACACGAGAGTCAGGGTAGTAATCATATGAGATAAATCACCATCTTCTCATTCACTTCCTACATGCTCCCGTTTCATAGCCCAAACACTCGTTACACCCTCTGAAAACCCCTACATGCCATCTTTCTTGCTGGTCTGTTTTACCCCACCCTTGGATTCTGTTTCAAAATCTTTACATCACCCTCTTTTCTCCTGCAAGATTCAGGTAAATAACCGGTAGTAAAGTACCCCTTGGCACTACCCACCCTCCATCATGGCTTTGTTTTATTACTACACGTCCACAAAGTCCACCCACCCTCCCCAAGTCGTTCTGACCCCTGCTCTGATCCCTACCCTCCCTTTACTCCACCTTTAAATTGCCTGTAGTACCCCTACCTGTGATTCCATAATGGTTCTGGGTATTGGACCCCATGTAATCCACTACCCCACCTTGTATTTGGATCCTCTCTAGATTTTTGCCACCCCCGTTTTCCCTTTCTCTTGGATTAATTCCAACTTTTTAACTTACCCCATCTCATTTATCTCAAATTTTCTGGTGACATTTCAAATTATTTCATTCATAAATACCAATGATTCAGTCAACATTTAAATGTAGTAGCAAATCCTGACTCGTTCTGAAGAGGCCCGGACCCGGTCCCGGAGTCCACGGTCGGCCCGGGCGGTCCGGGTCGCCGGGGCCGGCCCTGCACTGCGCCGGGCGGCAGTACGGTAGTGACTCAGAGTTGGAGTGCGCCGGGCGGCGGCGCTCACCGGGCCGCTGCACCGGGCCCGGGCCGGACCGAGGCCGCTAGTAGGCCCCCGAGGCGGCTGGCCTAGATATAGACAAACTTCAATCAGACTCCCCCAGTAGTTTACTAATCAGCCAGTCACAAGGCTTGAAGCGCAATATGTGACCCCGTGACAACCATTTGCTTTTGTCACGTCAAAGTGCCGAACTCAAGTGTGGGGCCATCAAAGAAAGCCTTCGCTTCGAGGAGGCCTCGGACACTTGCTTTCCAAGTACCTTGGCTGACAGGGCGTCTGACTTAAAATCCTCCTCCTCCACCTCCGGCAGTGGTTCTCCCCTAATCATCGCTTGCTCACATGCAACCAGGTATTGCTGCTGCTTCCCGATGACGCTGCCAGGACGGTTGATCCTCAGCCATGCTATCGTCTCTCGCGCTCCCCATCCCAAGTTCTTCATCACCCACAAGGCCACCAGGGTCCCAGTCCTGCCCAGCCCGGCCAGGCAGTGGATCGCAATGGTGCCATTCTCGCTGTCGCAGATGTCGAAGAACTTGTCTATGATGTCCCTTGGCGGGGTGGTGCAGTCGTCGAAGTAGAGGTCATAGTGGCGGAGGCCGTGGCTGATGAACTCCTCCCTGTCGTAGGTCGTCGGCTCGTTGAGGCGGATGATGGCTGATATACCGCGCTTCTTGAAGAGAGCCGAGTACTCCTGGATCGTCCTCGTCCTAGTGTCCGAGTTGTTCGGCCCACGAAAGGCCAGAAACTTGGGGCAGACGAAGTGCGCGTCGAAGTTGGCCGGGTTGTCAAGCCACTGGTATTTCTGCACCTCGAAGCTGTGATAGTTGAACCAGCCGATGGTCATCGCGTTCCTTAACCCTTTGAAACAGTCCAACAGCGAGATGGTGAACGACGGGATCTCGTAGGTGGCGTCCTGGAAAGGGATGAACGCATTCTTCTCAAAGCCCGAGAAGCATTTTGCGACTCGATCGGGAGACCATCTTTGAACGATAACAAGGAAAGCGCCAAGCAAGAAGGCAGCGTTTGTCCGGTAAGGAGGATCCTTCTCTGCATAATACACAAGTTTCCTTGATTTCAGCCTGGGATCCAAAAGCTTTTCCTCAACGAACTTGCAGAACAAGTAGACCTCAGCGAGATTGACAGGACCAAAGTCATGACAAAAAGGAATGTAAGCTTCATGATGAGTGCTTGAGAAAAAGAATATATCGCGATGCTTCAATATTTCCAATTTCGTCTGTCCCTCGTTCTTGTGGATTGTAAAGTATAGTTTCCCTGGCATCAGGGAATGAATCTTACCGTATCCTGTTGAGTCATCTGCATAGTATTCTGCCATGGAAGACATGCTTGCTCCCCACGAAGATTGATTTTGCAACCACTGCTTGCGGCTGTCCGACTGCATGCTCTCAAGCTTTGCTTTTCGCTTGTCTGCTGTCTTGAAAAGAATTTTCAAGACAGCTCGATTCCCAACCAAGTTTCTCTTGATGATCTCTATGAAGTCCGATGACTTCAAAATCCAACATTTGCATTCACCATATGCCACAACATCGCACATTCTGAGTTGTCCCCTTGGACTTGCCTTATGATCATCGGATATGTACTTGCGACAAGCTGCCACGAAAGCAATCTCTCCAAAGCAGTCACCTGCGAAGATGTGCTTTACAAACTTTCCATCTACCACGATGCTTGCTTTCCCAGATTCCATGAAATAAAGAGATGAGCTCGAGTCTCCTTGCCGCACAATGGCTTCACCGTCCGCGAAGACATGAGCTTTCATTCTTCGAAAGCAGGACACTCTGCTCTTATCCAACATCGCTTCGAAGATCTCATGACTTGCATTGCTTTTTGTGTAAGCTTGAAGAAACCAAAAGAGCTAAGGTCAGCTGTACTTTCACCATTTGCTATCGCGACGGGCGATGACGCGCCGGTCACTTGCATGCTCTGTCTCCGTCCAACCATCGGGGAGAATCCTGCCCGATGCAATGCCACTTTACCCATGGACTGACATCTTTGCTTGCCTTGCTTCATCACAAATGCATCATCGTCCAACGTTCTGGAGGGAATCTTCACTTTATCATCTTTGTGCTCCCAGCTTTGGAAGGTCTTTGTTAAGATCCTATGGTGCAAGGACATCAGAAGTCAACACAGGCAAAAACGGCACCAACCTCATGATAGCTTTTCTGCTTGTAGCATCCGATTGAAACACTGTAAGAAAATGTTTCACGGTAAGCTCTAAACAGCGACACATGTCCGTTGCCACGATCGATGCCGTTCGTTTCCTCTTGATTGTCCCCACCTTGAACTCGCTCTGCTCAATGAAGCTTGCGACGGTGGCAAGGAAAGATCCTTCCCCAAAGAAATCGCCTTCGCCAATGTTGCAGATGAACTCATCGTCCTTGACAACCTTAGCAGATCCTATATCGATAAAGTACTGCAATACGTATCCAAACATCAGATCCCATCTAGGCAGCTCATATCTCTTACCATCGTTGTTCCCACGGAGCCTTGCTCTACAATAACTTCGCCCTGATCAAAAGTACAGATCTTCATCCCGGCGATGCACGCTTCTCGCGATTCATTACTGATAGCATCAAACAGCACGCAAGAAGGAGAGCTGCTCTTGGAACTTGCGTGCGTTTTGAAGTCCATTCTTGGAGACAATGCAGATACTTCAGATTGTACGTGCATGACTAGAAGATTGGTATTTGATTCTCTCTCTCACACTTCAGTCTTACCAGTTCCAAGGGATCCCCCGACCTCTCTTGCTGACATCCTTCCAGATCTTGTAAAGACTCAATTGCATCCTCCTACTCCATATCCACAAAGCTTGGTCTTCAAGTGCTGGTGGCCTAACTTAACCCTCTCTCCTGCTGTCTCCTGCTCTCCGCCATCCTGCGCTTGTCAACTCGACTTGAGATACCCCACCCCCTCCTTGCTTCCCATGCTCATCCGCTGCTAGTACCTGTACCCCACCTTCAACTGTACATGGCTGATAGGGGGTAGCGAAAGCACGGGGGTACTACAGGATATGACAGTGACCCCTGCGTCTCGTTCGGGCATCAACCCCTGCCAACCCCCCGATTTCCTGAGGGCATGCCACCGGTACCCCTCCTGGCATGCTGACCACCCCTTCAGCCACGTAAGGATCGCAAGGCTGGCAGGGCTTGCAGGGGAACAATGGGGGTAGATGTCGATAAAGTTGTGTTCTAGCCAGGGGTGGAGGAGCTCACAGACCCCTGGGTGGTATGGGGGTAGTGAGGTGGTGCGATTATGAGACCTGGTAGCCAAGGAGACACAGTGAGGGGGGTAGGGGTGTGAGGGGTAGTTCCCTTTCCTGTAAGTCAAGTCCAGGGGGACTAGGGTGGTGAGGCGTGTGGTAATGGCTTCTAGTTGCGCAGGGGGTGGGGTTACATACGAGGGGTCGGATCTCTTTCAGGAGGTCATCTCCAGATTGAGCCCACGGGGTACAGATGCTGGTCAACTGGGGAGTGGGGTAGGGTGAGTGCGATGCTGGAGTGGGGTGGGGGTCCTACTACTAGAGGGCGGAGGTCGAGTGATACCTCACAATAATATAATGTCATTGCTACACTTTTACACCCTTTATAATTTATGTATAACAATATGATACTGCCTTTCTATAAATTATCGGGGGACCAGTGATACCTAAATATAATTAACCTACCATTTTATACCCTTTCATAATTATGTATAACAATATGATACTACCTTTCTATAAATTATCGGGGAGCTCGAGTGATACCTCAATAATCATACTACCCTTTTATAATCATACCACCCTTTGATAATCATACTACCCTTTGATAATTAGGTCATGCTATTCCGCATGTCACGTTGAAAGTACAGTATCTATTCCAGTTGACAATGGTGAAAGTTCACTGCCTTCTTTAATCCGAGGCTGTCATTTGACTGCATAAGATGATGTCATGGCTGCTGAAATATTTTGTTGGTTGATTTGTTTGTTGTGTCAGACTTTAGATCTCTTCGTTTTTTTTGCTTACACTTTCTTCCTGCATCTTTATCTCTCCTCCCTTTGCTTTTTTTATTATCATATGCTTCATCGAAGCAGGGATGTAGACCATGTCGTCTCGGATGTCAATCTCTGCTGCATCGCCTCTTCTCCTTTCTTCCATCCGTATTTCTCTAGCACCCCACTGTCTTCGACGGGGGTTATCGCAAACCTGCCAAGCTCCTCGAGCGGAATAAGAAAAATCACCCTCACTTTCCATCCTAACCCTCCTGCCGCTATGTTAAGTGCTTTGAAAGCCTGCAAGAAGAGAGAGGGTTTAGAAAGGATGCTTCTGACTTGCACAAATATTAGTTGCCATTGGCATAATGATCATATCACCGGACAGGGAGTTTCACTCAAGCCAGTCTGTGATGTCTTCTTGAAAAAGTTCATCTCGAACAGAGCCCCTTCCACACTCCGATTCCCGGTACCAAAGCCTAGTTAGTCTGACATTCATCTCCGAAAAGCTTCACTTGCTCATAAAGCTCATCGTCCTGCGCCGCCTCCAGGTACTCATCAAGCGTCCAAGAAACAATCTTGTGTATCTCGAGCTCCGCATCGTTATCCCTCTCCGAGTAAACCTCCTCCCGAGATAACATCGATGTCACGACAACGTCACCATACCCCATTCCTGACAATCTATGTACATATCTTCATGAGCTGCTGTCCAGCACTGCAAGATGCTTCTTGCCCTCAGACCCTTCAAAAAGATCACGTATCCCCTCAGCAACAGATTTGTACACGACGTGGCATGATCTTCAACTCCCGTCTACTACTTTCACGCAGTACATATGCGCAGGCTCGAGCCTTAGAAACGTTACCCTCCATTCTTCATGTCCAAGACGTGCTGGTAGGGATGGATTACTGTTCGACATGTCGATCTGCCAGCTACAAAGCTGACGGAGCAGTAACGAGGTCAAGCAAGAGGCCGTCTGAGGGAGGGGTCGAATCTTCTGTGGTCGAGAAGGGTTGGGTCAAAGTTACTGGGAGGGGGCGGAACGGCAGGAGCAACACCACATGACTACTGGTCGCCTTCTTCGGAGCTGCGACGTTGACGGTACTGCAGTCCAATATGTCGGAGCCGAGGAGCAAAGCAGTGTCAGCGTTACAACTACCACGTTACCTTGCTTACTGATCACGCCGTCAAGCTGACATGTAGTAAAGTCCCTCCCCTCATTATATACACCTTGAAGAAGAAACTCATCTTGTCTTCCCCTGTCCTTGCTACGACGACCCCGCTGGTCCTGGATTTCAGCTTAGCCTCTCCATCCTCCGAGTCTTGTCTATACGTTTGACTTGTTGTCAGTCCCGTTGATAGGTTTTACTGAACTGAGATAATGCCGCTGTCACATACTGCTCTTCAATCCTATTGTGCAAAATTGGTACTTCGTGAAGTGCAGACAAACTGCGTCACCATCGCAGCTGAAGATGTTGACGACGTAATGCTCGAGGAGATGGTGGCTAGCTATACAATCGACACCTCCTTTCTCGATGTCACCCTATCCAAATCTAGTCGCCTCAGGAAACAGAAATTTGCGTAAAAGATGCAAAGCAGTAAGAGACCGAGCCTTTCCTGTTATGTAATTTAGAGATGATGTGTATAAAGGTAATCGAATGAAAAATTAAACCGAAACATATAATACAAACAAAGAGATCCTTTCCATTCTATGACAGCAATTTGTAAGTTCGGCAAAAGTCAAATGCTGGGCCCCTGCGCTTTCAACCTCGGAGAGCAAACATTCCATTGAGAAGCATGTCAGGTGAAAGCAGCGTCTGCAATCCGATGAAGATGTCTCTTCCTATTCAACACAGAGAGACAGGGCGGCTGCGGATGTTCGAAAAGAAGAGCAACATTATCAAGTTTGCACTCATACACTTCAACGCCGCAAGAAGGAATTTTCGTTTGTCACCCATCGTGGATTCATTTAAAGCAAAATCAGAACATTTGAAATGTCATCGAATCATTCTTGCACAATTTTCATTTGTATAACTCAGTCAAAGATAACTAAAACTCTTGGACCCAACAGTCTTGTGATTTTACTACAGGGGACTAGCCGCAACAGCGTTTGACTGGATTGCTGACCTTTTTTTTTGGATTCTTTACTCCTGCCAGCGATTTATCCTGCCTTCTTGCAGCCACCCCTCAGCCTTTCTGCTACATCTGACCCCCAACTCCAGCCTCTCGCCGCTTGCCAGTGCCTTGCCATGCTCCCAACGCAGACAGCACCTCATCGCATTCGCAACAGGTCGTCCTCACTCTGCCATGAGCAGGAAACCTTCACGCTTGCTGCTGAAGACGTTGACGATGCTATGCTCGAACACATGATTGCGCGGTGTCAGGTTGCTGGATCCTGGTGAAACTCCATGCACACAATTCAAGTTCTACTCAGCATCGCCGACGTGCATGGGAGGCAGCCGTAAACCCTTATTGAAGAATGAATATGTATGAAACGAACTTGTCTTATTCCGAAACACGAAAGAATATTGGCTGTCAATGGGTTCCTCCCTCTCCTCCACCTTGTACAAGGCTGCTTGTCTCGTCCATCCCTACACACTTCACGAGGCCTTGCCGCCTTTCTTTTTGGCGCCTGTCCTTCCGCTCCCTTGGACGGAGTCGGAGGTGCAGAAGCCTTGACGGTCGAGGAGTTCCCTAGCTACGTTGTTGATGTGTTTGAACCTGCAGCCAAGTCGTCATGTTCAGCGGCTGGTCGACTCTTTGGGGATACCTGTCAGGGCCCAGCTGGATTCCTCCGTACCATCGTGACACGACTACACACACGTTCAAGGCAGAGACGATGTCGAGGAGATGGAGCAGTCGCGACCCGGCCTGAGCCAGTCAAGTCAGGGGGGCGGGAGTGGCGCGGCAGGGTGGAGGGGTATCAATCCTACCGCAGTCTCGCCATCATCGTCACAGTCTGCGTGCAAGTTGCCTGGGTCGACTTGACGTCAGCGCAAGGAGATCGAAGAGTCGCGCGCGCCTTTGTCGCTGATGAACCTGAAGGCCATGATGTTGTGCGTTGCCCGGGCGATCTTCGAAATGGAGGAGGTGAGAAGGGAGGATGGCGTATAACCAGCACCTTGTTGTTTGAGTTCAGAACTAGTAGCAGCTCCCTGACCTGCAGCACCGCGGGATCACAGACGGGTGAGTCTGACATGAATCAGGATCACCTCCCCCTCTGAGTGAACTTCGGCAAGGTGCGCTTGAAACGTGCTCTTCCTGTCTGTGAACGGATCGCCTGCGTACCCACCACCTGCATCAGGCAGAGGCAGAGGCAGAGGCAGAGGCAGAGGCAGAGAGTCAAAGAGGTAACGAGGTGAGAGGAGAAGGGGGCGAGGGAGCATCTGACCGTGCTGGATCCTCGCCTCCCATTTTGCGATGAGATGATCAGCAGAATCAGAGATCCTAATGGCTCTCGAGCTGACGAAGGAGCAAAGAATGAGGAGCGAGGTTGGGAACAGGAAGACCAGATGGGGTCAGGCAGTTGCAATGGATAGGGCAGAGATGGGTAAGGGAAAGGGAAGTGAGGAGAAGAAACGGTGGGAGACGGGGACAAGGAGGAGGGAGAAAAGGAGGGAAGAAGAGAAGGGAAAGAGAAGCAGGCAGCTAGATAGCTCTCCTTGCACGAAAGGTCTGACCTGTTGTCCTCTTGCTCATCAAAGAAGTCATTCAGGAGTTTGGACTGCATTGCTGAAGCCAGCTCCTCATCTGCCTCCTCCTGGTCCCTCGTGCTCGCTTCCTCCCTTGGTGAGGGAAGGAAGGATCGTATCAGCTCTGCTCCTTCGTTCCTCAGAAACTCCGTCAACTTGAAGACTACGACCTGCCTCTCGTTAACCCTCTGCCGCTCCCTCCACCTCTTACCTCTCCAACACTCTCCCTCGCCAACTTCTCCAGCTCTTCAATCAGGAGGTTCACTTGCGAGGGCTCCAGCCAGTCTGCCTTGAGCTCGAACAGCGGAGGCTCCTGGGACGGATAGAACTCGGGCAGGGCACAGAGGAAACGGATCGATTGCTCTCCTTCCACCGCCAACGAGATTTCGAAGGAGTCGTCCGAGACCTGGACAGACTTGCATCAACGCCTCCTCCTCGACCTCCCGCACAGCGCCTGTCTGCTGGCTTACCTTGCTAAAATCCTCGCCGAAGATTGCACTGAGCGCCTCCATCTCCTCCTCCCTCTCTTGCCTGTCTGCGCTCATCGCCTCGTGCTGCCGGACGCGAGGAGCAAGCTTGCTATGAATCCCCAGACGCGGCCTGTTCGCATTCGCCGGGCAACGCGATGGAGATGCGCTTACGACGATGGCTGGGAGCAGGAGCAAGAGCAGGAGGCCTTCTACATGTACTATCTTGATCTGCACAGCGTTTAGCCAACTATCATGAGATCGAGAAGTTCTCGAAGTCAGGGGTCCATGGGAGGGTTTAACTAGTGTCCCTCATGCTCGACTAGCTGTTCTCCCTTCTTGACACGCTGATTCAAGATCTCTCAAAAACATTCTCACAAGCTCGAGCAGCATTTTGTCCTTTTGCGATTCTCTCTGTTTGATCCTTCCTTCGCATGCTCTGGGTTTCTCATCCCCTTCTCTTCTCTTCTCCTTATCTTTGTCCTTAACTTTCTTGCTCTCTCTCGCTTCTCTCCTCCTCTGCTCTGCTCTGCTCTGCTCTGCTCTGCTCTGCTCTGCTCTGCTCTGCTCTCCTCTCCTCTCCTCTCCTCTCCTACATTCGCAGTTACACCATTGCATGTTCGCAGTTCGACAATCGCTAGTAAAATCAGAGGGGGTAGGGGTCAATTACTCAATCAGATAACCCGTACTTGACACTGATTGAATGCCTAAAAAAGAGGGGTACTTATTTGGTCTCAGGGAATAAAGGGGGTTGGGGTGCAGGGCTACTGCAGAAAGAAGCGCGCATGAAAATGGAGAGTGGGGAAAGGGGGACGGGGGAGAGAGAGGAGGAGAGAGGAGAACGAGCGTGTTCGATAGAGGGGGAGGATAAGCAGGGGAGGAAGGTAAGGAAGACTGCAGAGTGATATTGGAATGGGGGGGTCAAAGGAGCAGGGAGAAATATGAATGAGAGGACGAATGAAGTTGAGAACAACGTGCCATGCGATGTTTTACTGATGGACTTGCCTCTTTCATGGCAGATGAGCGGCAACGAAGACTCGGATGAAGGGTGAATAGAAGCATGCAGAAGCTTGTGAGTTGCTGACTGGTTGCTAGGATGGAGGACGAGGCAGAAATGGAAGAGGAAGAGGACGAGGAGGAGGAAGACCAGAATGCAACGGGGGAGATGGAGAGCGAGATCATCGAGGAGATCTGTGAGATATTGATCGCAGCACCTGTCCTCATTGATGTTGTTCCCAGCCGGCATGACCTCTGAGGCTCGAAGGAAGCAGAAGCGGCAAACCATGCCGTACATGACCAAGTGAGGCAGCACTGCTAGCAGCATACACATCCCTGCTCACTCCTCCTCTGCTGCTGTCAGGTACGAGAGGACGCGCATCTTGGGGATCCGTGCTCTGCAGATCAGCATGAACGCGCCTGTCATGGTAAGGCCCGCCATGGTTAAAGCGTGGTTTACATGAGAGCGATTGAAAAAGAGATGATGGTGCAGCTGTCGATGGTTGCGAGGGGAGGATGGTGTTGGTGTGAGTGATGCTGGTGAAGGGACAACCGTATGCCGCGCCTCGAACAATCGCAGATGAATGATTATGTCAATGTGTTGGACTGTTGCGTTTCCACTGTCATGCGCGCGATGGCGGAACATGTGCTGGAGTTTGACTCATTGTCCTGTTAGGTTCCTGTGGACAAGGAAACTGATCCTCTCAAGATTGCGACCAAGGAGCTGATTGCTGGTGGGGAAGGAGGAGGACCGCAGAGTGATGAAAGGGGCGGAGGAGGGAGGGAGGGGGAGAGGAGGATGAAGAGAAGGAGGGAAGAGGGCAACAAGGGAAAGGGGTTATAGAGGAGGAGGGGAGTGCTACTAAGAGGAGGGGCAGGCAAGGTTCCCTTCATCATCAGGCGGCATCTTCCCAACGGATCGTCGGAGGACTGGGCGGTGAACGAGCTGATCATAGAGCACGTGTCGCTCACGGATCGTTATCAATGAAGAGAGATGGCAAGGAGATGCGTTGATGAGGAGATGGCAAGGAGATGTGTTCTGAGATGTCAAGAGAACGCAACCAGTTTGTTCACTACACACGAACACGTCTGTTGTTATGAGGGGAAGGTACTTGTCACTCAAATGATCTTCTAGTGAGCTCGATGTTGGTTCAGTCGGTAGGAGTCTGAGGGAGAGTTAAGAGACGAGTGGAGAATCTTGGGAAAGAAGGGGAGGGATAAGAGATGGACAGGGAGGGAGGCGAGGGAGGCGAGGGAGAGGGAG